TTGGGGGGTTGTTTTGTGGGTGGGGTTTTTTCCGTTAGTCGGGGTTGTTGGGGGGGGGGGGGGGGGTGTACTCATAGTCGTGCATGCCGTAGTCGTTAGACCATTGACCTCGCATCCCTACAAAGCCGGGACGGAGCACGCCGGGTTCTCACCGGACCAGGCTCTCACATCACCAAGCGCGAAGCGCCGTGAAGTATTTGGCGAGTCGCATGAAGGGTGAGCTGCATCCTTCTAAGGGTGTTCGGCATCTTGTGCTTACTTCCTTGCGTACGGATGGCAGCTACGTATGACTTAATTTATTTTCTGGTGCTTTCACTTCCAGAGACAGTTGTAAGCACTGTGTAACTGCCTCGAGGAAGCTTGACCATTTTAACACAACGTGGTGCGATCATCCCCCGTTGCGCGGAGTGAGGTTTCTCGACCCCGCACAACATGATCTTCTCGACCACCATTATGGTTACCGCCAAAAAAAAAACCGAGGTAAAAAAAAAAAACGGTAACCTGGTTGCCGAGTTCACGAAGTGAATTGGCTTGTTTTACAACGTCGTTGCCAAGCGACGAAAACCCAATCCCGATGGCAAACACCGAGTGGGGGGCTTGTTTTACAACGTCGTTGCCAAGCGACGAAAACCCAAACCCCGATGGCAAACACCGGGGGGGGCGGCTTGTTTTACAACGTCGTTGCCAAGCGACGAAAACCCAACCCCGATGGCAAACACCAGGGGGAGGGGGAGGGGGGAGGAAATTTTCGCGGCGCCCTCCGCACCCCCGCACCGCCGCGGGCTGCGCAATACCCACCAGCCACTGCTTCTGTACTGGTGTGTTGTTTCTTCGCCAGAAATAAGAAAATAAGAAATCAAGAGACTCAGCTGGACGCGACAGCCCAAACGAATAAGAAATCCGTTTCAAGAAATTGGGTCGACTTCGGCTGGTCCTTCTGCCCATAATAAGAAATTGAGGCTCGACCCGATTGTGAGGTTTCTTATCTCCGGGCCCGTTCTGTAGTGGATATGCTGTACACCTTGACAAAAGTAAGTACAATCGGGGTTCAAATCCCTCGTGGACCATTTGAAACGCCTGTTTTCCGGAAAAAAGTCTGGGATACACGCCTGAAAGTCACGGCATACATTCCATTCGTCCAAATGAAGACACATATTCCCGCCTGTAAGTCGACGACACCGCATGGGGCAGCGCTGATTACAGGGATTACAACCCAGGGGTTAATACCGAGGTCCAACAGCTCAAACGAGTTGAAGGACCCCGGTTGTATTTTTGTTAAGGTGTACAGCACATCCACTATGCTACAAGTCAAGTCAGACTTGTAGCATAGTGGATATGCTGTACACCTTAACATGCGGGTCTCCGCCAATGGTACGACAACTCGTTGTACACATAGAGTAGATGACGATCTGCATCCAGCAACGCAACAATCGAGACGATTGCAAGAAATAACCCTTGGGAGAGGAAGTCGATCGGGCTTTGATGTGGCGACCTGCTGTATAGCCTAGCACACCCGCGTTCAACAGCCTACGTAGTCTCGGCGTGCAGACTTTGTTTTTGATTGACGGAGAGTGCTTGGAATAGGAGTTTGCCGCTCTACATCCTTGCTTCTCGTCCGTTCCAGGATCCAAGCGCATTGATGGAAGCGCACATCGACCGGCGGCCATCCCATGTGACGCTCCCGCCCGTGCCCTCTCTGCAGGCCTCCTACCGTTCAGGAAGTTCTCCTATTTGATCGACGCATGGGCATTCCCTTCCATCTGGCAACCTTGTCCACTCCTAATTAAGAACTTTGGCTCCCAAGCACCGAATCATACTTGGCGAAGGAAGCACGCAACACAGATGTATGTTCACTGTAGATCAACACGAAAGCAAGTGCTAGTTGATGGTAGCTTATTCACCACAATGTGGCGGTGTCGTTTCAGATCAAGTTGGAGGTATACACAACTCACGGTTACCGTCAGGGAAATCACGTTTCATGCACGCCCTTGCAACCTGTTTTACTTTCCAAACTCAAGGAAGTTCGAGGCCACAGAAGCACGTACACTTCGCGTTGTCCTGTCCGGATTTTACGACATGGCTTCGGTGGTGGCAAGAACGTTCTTGGAGTTCGATGATGGGGGTCTCGGTGAAGCAGGTCGATGATTGCACGCGGACACTTTGTTAGCTTTGGCAGCAGCTGTGTGCGAGAGAGAGAGAGAAAGCTGCCAGCAAGTCGCCTACGAGTACTTCTCTGCCATCGCGCACGAACCGACGGGTGTATACGTGGGTTCAACGCACGCCTCGTCGGATTTAGCCGTGCTGGTGGTGTGCATCGAAGGCAAATGGAAGTGAACTGTCCAGGGTTTTAATATAGCATGTATCGCCAGTGAAGAGTACTCTTCCGTTGTTCTATTCTAGAAATGTTATCTCGTCATCTGCCGTCCCGCTCGCTACCCCCACAAATCCAGTGTTGATTGAGAGGGAGGGGCAGAATGTGCACGATTAAGGGGACGAACCGAGGGGAAGGTCACTGGCGTCATACGTGCGCACTGGAAGGTGCTCTGGAGACGGGACACAGACGATGGGAATGGGGTAGAAACATATGAAGAGGAAGAACACGTCGTTCCGGATATTGGGAGTGAAAAGTTGCAATTCTGTGGTGGAAAGCAATATGTTCGGGGGGTATATACAGTAAAGGGGAAGAGACTGCTGAACCTGTCCCGGGGTGTAATTCGAACGGAAGCACTGCACGGGAAGGTGAGACAAATACAAAGATGAAACCATGTGTTTCCTTCCTCCGGCGTGACCCCGGATGATCGTCAAGTATACCTAGTACGCCAACAGGTGTAGTCTGGGGTCAAGAGTAGATGGAACGAAACATTCACACAGCTTTCTAGGAGTCGATGTGCGTTACGCCCCGCTAGCAACCGCCTTCTCGATGAAGCTCCATTTATGATTCCTCTTTAAACCACTTTTCGCCATTCCTTTACAATGAGGCACGTTGAACAAGTGTAAGGCTTGCTGGTGGAGCTCGTGCCGGTGTAGCGGCTACGGTTCGAGGAAATGTTGAAGAGGAAATGTACGGAAGTTAAGAGTAAAAAGGGCTTATCACTGCCATGAGAGATACAAATATTACAGTACCGACTAAGAGAAGACCGAATATAGGAGAGTTCAACCGCCTTGACACGACGCTCTATTAAAAAAAATGCAGCAGCTATGTTTGGGGGTACTCAGCACTCGATACTGATCTACGGGGGTTTAGGGGGTTTCGTGTAACATTGGCGGTATGTGTTGGTAGAGGGGCGGTCCCCCTTCTGCTGTGCATGGGTTAGCATGCCCGGCGCACTCGTTAATATACCAAGGTCTTGAGCCAACCTTTCTTCTCTGCGCTTCTGACAACAAGCTGCCCGCCTCCAAACGCGATCCGCCTTCAAACATGCTACTTGTACTGTAATAGTCTAGAGAATAGCCGTCTGGAGCTCTATTCTCCTTCCAGAGGATGTTTGCCCTGCTTTCAATGCTGTTGTCCTTGGTAATCACATGCTACATTGTACATGCTGAATCGCAACCGTTGTTCGAAGTTTGTCATGTCCATAAGGCGAAGAGCCGCAAAATGTCTGCAAGTCGTTGTTGTTCTGCGGACCAGCCCCCTTGCCCCCCTCCAAACGCCTAGTCGCCAAGTTCCAAAATACGCTACTGCAATACTTCGCGTACAGCGCATACCCTCGGAACACGGTAGTCTATTGGTGTGTATTCCCGGGTGATTACCAACCTCCCGAGACTGGCCGATGGTGGCGTGGCATAGCGCTCAGTAACGCGAGCCCTCCCTTATTCGCTGAAATTCTTACGAGAATTGTGCAAAAGGACTGCAAAAATGCACGGGAGACACCCGAGTTTTTACTTCCTTCGGTTGCTTGTGCACGGCAACGGCAACTGCAGCAACAACCTTCTTGGGCCTCAACAAGAGTGACGAAGAGACTGGCAGCACCTAAGGAAGCGATAGTGTAGTCGTACGAGGTTTCATGACTTGCTGCCATTCCATTTCTCGGCCGACGAGGTGAGCAATGGAGAGATGTTGCGTCACATGTGCAGAGGCATTTGCGATTCCCGGCGCACGTACAACCTGGGTAGGTTGTGGTACGGGCGGTCATCCTTGTCTTCTTGGTCGAACATGAAGGCGTTGTCCTGTCATGAACGGACCAACAAGATGGTGTGGCTTGAGAAACACGACATGCTTGGCTCAGCTACAGTTTAAACCGAAAGAGCAGATAGAATGATACGCCGATGCCACAAAACTTGAAAAACCTTCTCTGGCGGAGCTTCTGTGTTGGGCCTTACCTCCACCGTCCATTTTTTGCCGTCCTGATATTCTCTCTGCAATAGTATTGTCTCGAATATAACGAGCGACAGCCTGGCCTACCATCCCCTCCACCAATTTGCCTTGGTT